AGGCGCCAAATTCGTACCGCGCTTAGGCAGTAGTTGCGCGCCGACGGGGCGTGGTGCGCGTGTCTGTACGTGCGTGCGTGTGCGCGCGCGCCTCTGCAGGGTTCTTTGGCTCGCGGGGCCATTCGTGGGAGGAGCCGTGCAAAACCTGCGCTGAGAGCCCTTCTAGGGGAATTGCGGGATCCCGAGACGCGTTACGAATTGGTTAAGGGAAGCGCCAAGGGCAGGGAAGGAGTCAAAGCACGCTGAGAGGAAAAACGTGGGAACGTGGAAGGAAAAGCAGTGTAAAAGCATCAGTTCTCTGTGAACGTGTTGCTGATCGGTAGCCTTCATCTCTGCAGGCTGTCCTGTCTCACCAAACTCTGTTTCCAGTAGTCTTCCGAAGTGAGGAAATGGTTTACCCCGTGTTCATATCCCTGTCTGGAGATCTTGGTGCCAACAACCTGCACCTGGCAACAGGGCCAAGGGGCCAGTGCGTGTGTGGTACCGGCAAACGGGGAGACGGGACCGTGCACGGAGGGGTCTGGGCTAGGGCGGAACGCCAATGTGTGCGATCACACGTTAATGAGCCGGGCTAGCGAGCGACGAGGGTAACAGGCTTTGTAGCCGGGTACTCAGGGCTGGATACAGGACAGATTTGAGCAAGACCAAGCATAGTAGTACTGCAGATCTTGTGTGTGTGTATGCTCTGGTGCCAGGAAATGCAGTGGCTAGTTAACTGGAGAGACTGTTTAAGGCCCCAGAATGAAGGGATTCATAATATTTGTGTGTGCGTACGTTTATATGAATATACTCGGCTGCAGAGGAGGAAGAGGATTTGGCCGCTTGTACCATTCAAGTTCGAGCACTGTATGTTTTGTGATTTTATCAGTATTGCTAGACAGGAGCGTTTTTGCCTACTGGAAACGTGTTCCTTGCCTCACTACTGGCTGGACTCGAGTGCGTGGAGGTGCAACAGCCTTGCATCTCTTACGATACCAGACTTATCATCTTGTATTGTCACCCAGCGTGGTGTTCCCATCTTTCCTGTTGCATTGTTTTGCTTTTCACTCCTTAATCTCATGTGGGCTATTTCACCTGGTACTCCAATGGCTGTTGTATTTTTTTCTGTCAGGTAGGTGGCAATTCTGTGGTGAATTATGGTGCTAGATACTGCTACATAAAAGAACTGTACTTGAGGAAAAGGTAACTGCAGCCTGCAGGGTCTTAATTCCAACTGATGGCCTCTCTTACACAAGGACACAGTGACTCTTACTCTGCTAGCCTGTTCCAGATGTGTCCTATTCCATGAAGGCAGGCAGATGATAAAGGTGTTCAGACCTAAAAGCCCTCCAGTGGGAACGTTCCCGGTAACTATGAAAGAAGGAGTCTACTACAGAAAGGATCAGCCCCCTAGCAGGGTAGAAAGCCACAGAGATGCATCATGTAACCTAGTTCCACTGTGTATCGGTATTCTAGAGGCAAAGCACTGAAGGTCAAACAGTACTATGAGTTGTTTTATTCTCTCAGCACTCCGAGTTTTGGGTACGGTTTATCACAAGTCGTTCTATGTCTGTGGACCAGAGATGTGATTGGAGAAGCCAAGAGAGGATTCTGGTTTACTTGTTCTACTGTACTGAGTCTCACAGAAACTGAAGTTCCCGTTTTCTCTCTCGGGGAACGGAAACATACTTGTTCGATGTACACAGACTTCATCTTTCCCACTTTCCCGAAGTGCTGTGAGTAAACATTTGGGTCATTTAATTCCCCTCTGAAAATAATTCCCAGTAACGATGTCCAGAAAAAAAACATAACAAAGGCTGGCCCACACAGAGTAGCTGCTTGCATTTTTGACAGACGTCCTGATGTTCTTTGAGGGCCGGAGTAAGATCACTGAATCATTTGTTTAGCAACTGGAAAAAATTCACTGATAAAAAAGCTCCCGACAGCCCGGTCAGACATCATAAAACAAGCGCACAAGTTGGTACCGGATAGAAAACGCAATCGTGCTGCCCAGGACCTAGGTAAAAATCAGACAGACAACGGAAACATTGTAGTGTTAGATGGTTTACAGGCTGGCAGATTCCTCCTTTCCTCATGGATTTGCTGTGCTTTCCAGCACGCCTTGCTTCAAACATTTAGGCTAATTTCTTTAGGTATAGAAAGATGAAAGGCAGAAGTCTAGCCAAAGCCCTCCGTTCTTTTTCCGAGAATTTGTGCCTGTGTCTGCACATAGTCACACTGTGAGAACAAGCAGACAAGATAAATGGTTGGGAATGACTCTTTCCTTCTTAAGGAGCCTACGTTATAATGTATGAGTCATGATGGTAAATCCCTCCTGTCAAAGCCCCGATTCGGCATCCTTAGAAGGTGCTGCCAACACTTCTCTGTTGCAGGTGGGCTTGGTATCAAGCAGCACGTATTTCCCATCCTCTCCTATCCCATCCCTGGCGTAGCCTGCCTAAGCCCTGTTCGGTCTTCAGGTTTGTGTGTCGGAAGTCCTTCGTCCCGAATGGGAATTAGGCTAAGTGTCTCCTCTCTTTCCTGGTAAGAATCTCTTTAATCTGAGAATGAAAAAGGAATTTTATTGTGGGACACTAAGCAGCATAGGCCTTCCCAAAGGCAGTGTTTCTACGGTGTTACGCAGTGCCGAATAGAGGTAGCGGCAGTACTTGTGAGGCATATGCGCTCTTAAGCCGCTTCAAAAAGCTCCCGCACCCCGCTCAGGTTCCAGATACTGCTGAGCTGTGTGCCAAGCTGATGTGAGTCCACCAGCCGGAGATAACTCCCAGACCTATATTTTTTGGTAGGACTGGAAATCGGGAATACAGAAAAAGGCTGTGCTCTGCTTTCCGGATTTTTTTCTAGCATCCAACGGTCTGCACCTTGGGGATCTTCTCAAGCTCACCTAGGGACTTAGTATTTATTAATTCTCAGTGAACAGGGGGTGGGTGGGAGGAATGTGTTTCCTTGAGCTGTGTAAACCTGCAGTTCTTCTCAAGCTCCACAGCTCAACTGCATCTTGCGTGAAGAGCATGACACATAACTTCCCCCTTTCCCCTGGAAACTCTCGAGAGCGATTTGGACGTGTTTCAGTTGCAGGGTACATCTTTCTACTGGAGGAACCATTTGTCTGACCTGAATGAGTAGCAATAGGAGAGTGAGATTTTGCTCGTGGGTGGGTCCAATTAGCTTTATAACAAAATTAATGAGCGTCATATTATTGCATTCAGTGTATTCACCGTCTTCATCCATTCCGCTCCTCACATCTACTATGTGCAAGAGCTTGCCCACCTGGGGAAAGAAAGACAGTGTGTTATTTCACCAGGTATGTGTGATGTTCTGTGGCTTGTTTTGCTGAAGGTTCCTTTTGCTGTACTGTTCCTGAAGTTTGGCTTGTGCTCTTACTAAAAAGATAGGACAGGGTTGTGTTGGTCCTGGGACCGTCACGACTTCTACACTTGGTTACTACGAAGAACTGACTGTTACCACAATCGAGTGACTGCAAGGGATGGTGATGGACTAAGCAGAATATTTTCTTCTGGATTTGAGCCAGGAAATAACCAGTGAACCCAGAAGTTCTGCATTCCCTCCCATCCTGCACCTCTCGCATTTGATCACCGCCTCAAAATGCGTTTGGATTTTGACTGTTTGCCGGCTCTTACCTTCAGAATGTTTGTTCCGATGGCAGAGAGGCTCTTAGTTTTGAATTTGGAGTAGCTCATCTCCAACTTCCCTGTGCTAGGATTGAGCCTAAAAAAAAACAACACCACCATTTCCGGTCCAGATAGAGCGAGGAGATGGAGAGATTCCATTTAAGCAGACGTAGCTGAGTGCTTGAGAAACAAATCCAGTGGTAGAAAAAGCAGGAATAATCTGATACACTTAAGAGGTGACGACACCTAGTTCCTCAGATTGGGCTGTGAGTGATGAGGAGATTCCTCCCCACTACACCCCAATACATGCATACAGCTGTAGTATTTTAAAAATAAATTAGAAGAATCTAACATCTGCAAGAGACAATTGCCCATAAGATATCGGGTCACAGAATGCTTGCTGTTCTGAAATCTTAGCAATCGTGTATCTGTGAGTAATGACATTCTAACATTTTTTAAAAATCACTCTTCTGTATCTGGGGGTGTGGGGTGGTGGGTGAAGTTAACTTCTTTGGGAAACCTCTTACTGTAGGACCTGGCCAGAGCTGGCAGAGAAAGACAGGTAACTTTTAACTACAAAGATAAGTTTGACGGCTTTAAAAAAAACCAACAACACCCACCACTGCTTTCCTCAGCGAGTGCTGGAGATAAAAGGCACAATCTGTAGTAGCATTATAGGTCAGTCGGGTACGTTACCTCGGTAGCCGGTGACGAGGGCAAGGAATGACGTGGAAGAGCTGAGGCAATGAGTAGAGGAAGTTGAGCACTTGCGGGATGAAAAAAAGCAGCATTGTTTTGCTGAAATGCCCCAAGATGCCCACCACAGCAAAGGTCATGCCGGCAAAGTAGCAGAAGGTGTCCCCGACAAACGCTCGAGATGGGTACCTGCAGGCCACAGGGTAGAAAAGCAAAGGTCTGTCATGATGGTGATTGCCGTGAAAATGACTTTATAACCGCTGAATGTATTCCCACACAGCAGCTTAAGGGCCCAGAGGGAACCACAGCTGATCTACACAGTAAAAAAGACGACTGCAGGTATTCTAAGAACTGTAGGACACACCCTGATTTGCAGAGAACGCGGTATGAAAAAATGGCTAGCGAGACACATGAGGGAACGTATCCCGTGCATTTTGGTGAGCTGGCGTGACTGGACTTGTTCTAAAAAAAGAAAAGCTACCGGCGCATCGCTGGATGCTTTGTGATCTCGGTTCCGGCAAGAAGCCTGTCTACGCTCCAGCGCCTCACCTGCACGTTGGTAAGTGTTTTGTTTGTTTGAAAAGGGAGGAAGTATACAGAAATGATGTTTCCAGAGAAGCTCTGAATGTCTGTCCCCTTACCAGTTGTGGAAAAGCAGCCCCAGCGTGGTAGAAAAGAAGGGAATCATGAAGTAGAGAGAAAAAATGTGATCATCTCCATAATCCCCTATGGAAGAGAGAAAAAAATGTATCTGTGATAAGACAGAACTGATTGATTTCTAGTAATATCGGGCATTGACATCTAGGATTCTCTCTCCCTTTGCTTCTTGCACCCGCAGACACATACGCTATGTTCCTTACCAGTTAACTCCAAAACGTTGAATATGATAATGGAAGCGGCTATCACCAGAGACTGTCCTGCTTCAATTCCATTAATTCCAGCGAGAATGTTGATGGCATTAGTGCAGAACACTGCTAGCATGCCCATGTACACGTAGTAGAGGATACCTGCAGGTAAGAATGAGCCAAGGGCTTTAATATGCATAGGTGAAGCAGGCCCTGGTCTGATTCACTGAAGTTCTCGCTTTCTACTTTCTATAACGATCCATTACCTAGCGAGCTCGGTGAGTTCTGGTAGCAGTAGCTTATGACTAAGTCCCCCCCATCCCGTGAATCAGCCTTCAGGTGTACACGGTCAGCCAACATGGTGACGGCAGCAAACCGCTGCGACACTGACGCGGACCATGGTGGTCCGCTTCTGTCCTTCGGGCATTCTGGTGTCGACAGCCGAGTGCTGTGCAGATCTGCCGCTCAACTGTATCTGCGGAATCCTGGAAAAATAATTGGTGCCTATCTGTGCATGGCTGAAGGTGTGCTGGGTTGCTGGATGTTCTTTCCAGCCTAATATTTAACAGGTGGAGTGTTGCCCTCTCACTGGTTCCTTAAGCAAATCCTTTGTGTGTTCCCTTTGCACCACAGTGCCGTCAGGTGACCCCTTCCACCTATTGCTCACCGCTCGGATGATGGCTTCTAGCGATTCATAACTCACCCAGGTCCAAGTGCATGCCCAGCAGCGCCCGGAAGGGCTTAGGCACCACAATGGTCGTGTTCCCGAAGTTGGTGAAGTAAACCATGAGCAGTGGGAGGGACGCCATGGTAGGAAGAAGGAGCTTGTGGCGCCAGCGCAGGTTCAGAACATCATCTGCAAAGCCCAGGAAAATCATGCAGCAGATGGCGAGGAGCGCACCGATGAGCTCCACGAACTGCGGAACAGAGAATGGGACCCCGATTACCAGTGGCTCCCCTTGCCCGCGCCCGCCACGCTCACGGTGCCGGCGCGCCTCACCTCGTCGTGAGGAAAGGCTGCGCACTGCTCCTCCACGAAGCACCTCAGGAAGGGCACAGGGATGAAGCAGAAGAGGATGATAAGGAACACAGCCCCGCTGATCACGCCCTGCGCTTCGGGACTG